CAAGAGGTAATATGTCGCTGATACGATGCTGCTCCAGTTATGAACTCGTTCCACCGTTGCAGCGGGATTAATGTTTGCTAAAAACACACACAATTAAGATAGCACAAATAATAAACAAAAAGGACCGACGAAAGAAAAAAAGGAACCTTATCACATTTTTCGTCATCCCAACCAAGCCGGGAGTACAGTAGAATTCGTACTCGTTCCATGTCAACCTTCTTCCAGCGGAATTTCTCTCACGCGATTTGTCCACATTTGGCCGGAAATATGCTGCCACAACTTCAGGGTTAACAATCTGAAACGATTGCAGTATGAATTCCATTTTTGTGAAAGAGTATCTCCCCGAAATGTGGGAGTCTAACCGATTTGATTCTCTCCATGTCATTATTTTTCTTTATTACAGCCCGAAGCTTGCGACGTAGGGCTACTGGTTCCGGTGGATCTTCATTTGAATCAAATGTAGCCATCCATGTTTCAACATTCTTCAAGGTCATCAACGTCTGAATAAATATTCTTCCTTTTTAGTTGTACTAGTAGTCAAAAGTGATTCACCTCTTTCTCTTGAGATTGGCCTTGCTCATCAGATCTACTCACTGCAAACTCGGACAGAAGTTCAACTGCATTCACTATTCCAATACTCGCCAGACCTGGAGAGTAGTCACCACCAGAAAGAACAGCGATCCCGACGAAGTCTGCTTGTGAAAGACCTGAATTTCGTACAGAATTATGATGCTGTGAAAAAAACTACATATTTAAGAGAAACGATACCTAATGCTTGTCGGACTATGCGTGAATCGTAGTGCTGTACATTCTTATTCTTTGAAAAAAGATGACGATACACATTTCTTACTCCAAAGGCCCAAACATCGCTGTCGTCCGAGATCACACCCTGTAATTTAAAAACTGCAAGAGCTTGGCAAAAAGAAGCAGATCAATAGCAAAGGATAACAATAACACAGCATTAAATGACATTACAATAAGGAGCATTTGGCCGATGGCAGACTTTGCGAATCAAGCGATTCGCTAGCGTCAGCGTCGCGTCGCGTACAGCGAACAGAGCCATTCGTTGTATGCGACGCGACCGCGGACGCTAGCGAATCGCTCGATTTGCAGTCTGACATCGGCCTATCAGTAATGGGATTTGTCCACCTTTAGCACTGTGTGTTATTGTATTGTATGAGCTTATTACTCAAAATCCATTCTATCAAATAATAATGTAGTTATCAGAAAAGGACGAATCCCCCATCATTCCAAATCACAGAAAGAGATCCTAGATCGAAAGTTTCACTACAATCTCGAAAGAGGATGCTGTAAATAACGCAGTGACTCATTTTTACAATGAGTTTACTGCTCAAGACACACCCAGGACAAAGTTGCTGCGCAAGAGTGCTCAATAATGAAGAAGGAGGTGCGCGGTGGCTGAGCGTGAAAAAGCAAGCGAAAGAAACCATTGAAGACGCTGGAATCATAAGTCTGAACTTTCCTCAATGTCGGCCGTGGTACGAACAAGAAACAGCGTGCTGAAAAGAGAAGGAACGTGTTGTGTGAGAAGGTACAAAGAAGCCGCTGCATTGAAGACGATAGGAGTACCACCCATGGCTGCTATTCAAGAGCCATGGCAAGGCCTTAACACCCTTGTAGCCCACTTTCAAGCTGTAAACCGCTCATCACTAACCTTCGCAACCAGCTTTCCTACCCACTATACAAATTTCTGAAAAATCAATTTTCAATAAGCCGCCTACCTGCACTAGACCCAACCTCTCCAACTCTACGCACTGAGCCTCTGCTTCACCCGGTGCTTCTATCCATGGAAAGCCGCAAGCGGTCAAGAAATCCTAAAACACCGGAGAAAATCTTCAGAATAAACAAGCGGAGGGCTTCCTGTTTAGTAATAGAATCAAATCATCAAATCATTGAGGAGAAATTCTGAACGGAAAGAAGCTAACAAATCTGAAAAGTACCTGGAGATCTTTGTAACATTCAGAATCTCGACTGCTTGGGACATTATTTCGCAGTCCATCCTTGTCATCCCACTGAGAGTCACGTGTGTCGCTGTCCTAATGCCATAAATTTTATTATACAGAGCACGTAATTTGACCTAACAGACGAAAATTACAAAATGAATGAAATGAGGACATTCGGGTAACGTAAATGAACGAGCTGAATTTTAATAAAATGTTCCGACTTACCCCTGCAGGATCCCAAGCTTCTGCTATTTCACTAGACGTCGATGAAGCTGCTTCCTGCTTTTCAATGATTGCTGAAGTTGATGGCTGGCTTGAGTTAGATTCTTTTTGTTCTTCAGCTTTACATCCGATTAACTGTTGTTCAAGAAGAGGATCAGAAAGAGGCACGTCAATAAAATCATCCGTTCCTGAGTCAGACGACCAGTCATCAGTTCGAAGCATCACTGAAAACAAACCTCATTTCAAGATCTGTTTATCGTCCTTCTACTTAATGAGACCGGCAAGAAAACTGGCTCAACCTGCATCAGCTTTTCGATGCCCCACATTACGCTTCGCATGATCTTCGACCATAGTACTTCATTATTGTTTTTTTTGTTTTTTTTTTTTTTTTTTTTTTTTTTTTTTAGCTTGCTATAGAAACCCGCATCCTCAGACATCACTGGTGAATCCTGTAAAATATGCTCAAACTAGTACAATACCTGTCACTGAAAAGATAACCAGGAGCGACAAATACTGAACGTAATACTCAATAACAGAAACAAAGTTGAAAAAAATAATGATTCGATACCTCCGAATTGTCAACAATCGAAAACAAGGGATGCTGATCATAAGTTGCCGTCTCGTACTGTGATGGGGTTCCAGTGGAGGTAGACTCCTTGTTTTCCACCAACTAAATCGAAGTCACTAAAGAGGTGATGAGAACTTTGGGAGAAAACTAACGCACTTGCTTGATGTGATCGTTTAAAGCGACTTCGAACCAGTAAACGTTCAAGCTGGAACTGACTGAAACTTTTCGAGTCGGATGGAATCTAAACAATGTAATCTGACATATCTGCAGAAACAGTTTCATTACTTCAACAGGTCACTAACCTGTGATGGCCTTAGTCTGGAATTTCGAATACGTTCACGCTCATCCACTAAGATGTCAATAGTTCGAGATGACAACTCACGTTCTTTTATATCCAACACCACAACATCTTCGTCATCGTCGCTCAAATCCACCACCTCACTAAAACCTATCGATACTCTAACGGAATAGCCAAACACTTCAGCTCAGAAAACCTACACTGGTTTTGGCGGTAAAATGTCGAACAAGTCATTTTCAAGCCGCTGTCGCTTCGAATTCGCCGCAGTTAATTTATCCTTGACAGCATCGATTTCCGACTGTGTCTGTGAGCCTACAACACTGGAATCTGTAGCGATCACCTTCATCACTATGACATAAAAATAATATTCCAAAAACTGCTACTACTGCCCTCAACGTAATAGAAAAGTTGCGAAACACCTACCAGTAGCTAAGATCTAATAGAGTGCGTTTCTTGGCATGAGTTAATACAATATCTTCCGTATGCTTCTTAAGACGGCGCTCATTCTGAAGAAAAGTTAACATATCGCACAATAGCTGTTTTTGAGAGAATGAAATACGATAATGTATTGGCCTCTTGACCAGATGCATCTATTACGTTCGGAGGATTGGCTCAACAGCCCCCTTGTCATCGTTATTTTTGCCACCCTGTTTACTTAAAAGCCTAAGATTTACCTACAATTTCCACGATGAGCTCTTACATGTATCATGGATACCCTACCATACAGTGATGTAGGGGTAATGTTGCCTGCATCATACCCTCCGGGTTAGAAACGCGACACCCATTGACTGACATTAAAAATTCCGTCAATAGGTACGAAAAGTTGTTGTCTAGACTACAATTACTATCTTTCATATCCTCTACCCTCTCGACAATGACCATGCAAGTTCCATTTGCTTACCGTTCGGCTGGATTCTCATGGTGCGCCTAAACTCAACTGAGTCCTTCAACATTTTTAATAGCTAATGTCGTACAAACCTGGGACGACATAGCGCTTCTTTGGATTTTCAACCCGCTCCGCGGCCTACCGTGCACTAAAGAGAAGACCAATAAAAGTAGTCTTTGTTGTGGCCGCCCCACAAGTTCTGACATCTTGGATCTCAGGAAAAGCATGAAGAAGCGAAACGACTGCAATACCCGGGTTGGCTCGAGAAAGGTGACCAGAACGCTGAAGTTTCTAAACAGCAGATGTGGAGAGTGGTCAGATAACAACCTGCTCACAGTCCACTCTGTTGCCATAGCTGCACTCACTGTCAGTCCAACGGCGAGAGCATAACAGAGGCAAATAAGTTAAAAAGAGGTGGTGTCGGGCCGAAAGGGACGACTATACGTGAGCACCGTTTTCGATGGACGTACAAATCCCTACACATGTGGCGGAGCTACAACTTCAACCTTCGAGTCTCGCATTGATATGACTTATGGAAGTCAGAATGGAACATTCGCCCACTAGCAGCAGCTTGAACCTTATCGTGGTCTGGCGGGGTCCAACTAGCGCCTCACCAAAAAACCACTGCCTGTTTTTCAGAGAAATACAACGCGATACAGGCTCGCGCCAAGACCGTTTGGTGACCGTAAGTTTAAAGAGTATCTAGACCTATTGAAGAGGGTAGACTCCTATTCAAATGGACCTAGCTCTGCATAGGAACAAAATTGTTTTGAGCGTTGTAAGGCAATAACCTTGTCTGTATCTACACACACTCACACAAAACAAATCTGCTATCAAACTGGATTCTACAATGCGTTGCCATCTATTGGCATGATAGGGGCAGAACCCTGCCATATAAAAGCCATATCGCACCCTCCCCAACACTGGATGCGTCTCGGAAGCTAATTCTCCTATGCAAAGTCTACCCACGAGATACACACCCCAGGATGCCATGCGGGCCACAGTAGAGTTGCGTTCGAGAACAATGGGAGCCATACTCACAACAACAGGGAGCATATCCAATGAATGTCATTCCTTTCAATATGTAAATGTATTGCTAAATTTTTGTAAAACCTCTTGAAGATTTTGAAAGAAGTTACAAGTAAAGAAAAGTGGTGCAATACTTATGGGACACCCTGTAGAACTATAATAGATGGGAGTTCATGAAGGAGCTATGATATGATCCCAAAAGTTCCGGTCAGGTCGTAGATGGGCAGTTTCCTTTTTCAAGCGATGCAATCACGCGCATTGGAAACCACGGCCTCCTCATCTCCATGTGTAGTTTGTGGTAATCAAGGCAGAGGCAAATATGATAGGACTTCCCACTCAATCGCTTGAACAGTACAGCATGAAACCTTGATAAATAAGCGCTCGGTGTAAATAATGTAGTCCTGAATTTGAAACCAAAAAGTGCCGGGTAACTTGGACACCCCAAAGCATAAAAAATAATCGACGCAAGTGTAATTAGGAGGGAGGGGGAGGGGTCATAACGGCGCATACTCGGCTCAGCAACAGCGATCCTTTTTATCAAGAGAAGGATGCTCAAAGGTGAGTGACCTAGCTTGCTTGTGTAAGCAAGGAACGAATAATAAGAAAGTATGATAGTGTAATTGTGATGATTTTGGACCCCTGCGTCATGATAGGCCACCTCTTTCTCTCCTAACTGCACTTAAGCCAGATATCGGTTTTTATGAGCAATTGGAAGACCATAAAAGGTAATGTTGTATACATGCAAATAAGCAGATAAAACGAAAATTGATTGAAAACTCGAAAATACCAACCTACCAAGACTTTCCTCTTGAACGAGGGAACGCCCTCACCATCGAACACAAACACAGGTCTTATTTTGTAATACAGTAGCTTGCATAACCGAGAAACAAGGAGCGCGAGATGAGGACATCGGACATCACCAGGATATCCTAGCTGAGCTTGGTAAATCCATATTGAAACATCTGAAAAGAAATGAAATGAAGATCAAAACATCAAAAGCAGCAAACTGACAACATATTTGAAACCAAATGTGCCAGACGAGGTAACAGAAAAAAGGAACTCACCAACAGCTAGAATTTTTCCCTCCAAAGTTTCTAGCGAAACGGGTTGACAAGTCGGTTCAAGAAGGGGCCAAAGACCTGCGATACCCATAACGACATGTGCGTAAAAGTATTGTGGTTAAATCTCCGAATAGCGACTCGCCAATATAACTGAAATATGTAACCGTCGAGAATGAAGTGTTGCGCATATGGAGCTCAAAATTACAGTTAGGTAAATGAGCGGTAATAGGGAACATTATTTTATTAAAGTTAGGTACTGCAGGATTTCTTGCGAATTATGGGGACATAGAATGCAGAGAAGCAGAAGAGGTAGAAACGGCATACGTGAATCTTAGAGGGAAAACGAGCTGATGAGCAGAAAATCGCGATAAAAAGTTCACCAATATCGAAGAAAAAACAAAAAACAGAAATCTTTGGAAATTTTTAATACAGTCATAAATGGTATTATGCTGTTTCCCTATCGTAATAGTGAATTCAGTGAAACACCAGAGAGCATCAGGAGCAGCATAAATGACAGGTAACATTAGTTTCTTTTTTGAAGCTGTTACAACTTCACTGGGTCTCTAATTCCAACATCTCCTTGCCCCACTTCTCATTCCCGCGGGAAAGAGAATACAAATTTGGGCATGCCCTAAGGAATTTGTCCTGAAATAGTTGTAAGAAACAACGCTTCACATGAATCAAATTCTTACACAACAACCGCTAACAGTACTGCTCCTGTACTCTTCTTGACCATGGGCTCAGTAAAACCTGTAAATCATCGAAAGGTGACCGCATAAGGGGTGTGCTAAAGTTATTTCACAGACCATGACTCATTAGGGGCCAGTTCCCCATTGAACCACCCATAAAGGGTGAAGCCTCTTGCAGGCTCCTCAGAGCCACTCCAAAAATTGGTAAGTACGTTTATGTCATTATTACTTGATGATTTTTCTAGGAAACACGACACTTATGGAACCCACCTTGAAGGACATGTTCTATTGAACTTTGATACAAACATTACAACAACTGTCAATCTTATGCTGAACCTGCTGCGTAGGTCACGCGGGTCAAGGAAATCGTGCATAACAGCACGGCGCGCACGGGTGTCGCACCAGTGCTTCGTGCATCTTCGAACACTTCTAATATCAACGGAATTAGAATAGTAACTGACAGAATGTTAACAGTTCCGACTTCTGGAAATATTGAGGACGTTACCACAGACTTTTCTCAGAAGTCTCAGAAGCAGAAATTCAAGAAATAACCAACTGAAAAATTCTTACCACAACCATAATTCCCTGA